CCCAGTTACTGTCTGATAGGGCCATGACATGGTGGGAAACAGTTCAGCTGAGGCATGCGACTGAGACACTAACTTGGAGTGATTTCAAGACAGAGTTTGAGAATCAGTTTTATTCCAAGTATCATCGCAAGGTGAAAGAACAAGAGTTCTTGGCATTGAGACAGGGTGATATGTCAGTATTGGAGTACGAAAGGAGATTCCATGACCTCTCATTGTTCGCCCCACATTATGTGCCGATAGAGGAACATATGATTGAAAAGTTGAGAGATGGGTTACGACAGGATTTGAGACAAGGATTGATCGCCTTGCGATTTAAATCGGTGAGGGAGTTGATTGAGGCTGCACAAGCTCTGGAGGCATGTATTGGAGAAAGCCAAGGGGGGTATCATAGTATAAGCAAAAAGAGAGATGGGGACTATTTCAGCGGTAGACCACCGCACCCAAAGAAAGGAAAAAGTGGAGTGTTTGAGCATGGAAAAAAGGGGAGTTTGATATTACCGCCTCACCAGCAATCAAGTGGGAGAGTAATGGTTGGACAGTCGCACTCGAGGGCAAACTCTTCTACTGGGACCGGTGACCGCAAGGGTGTTGACTATCCTTTTTGTGTAAAGTGTGGACAAAAACACCCTGGGGATTGCTCAGTTTCCCCCGGGCGATGTTTTGTGTGCAGAGGAGAGGGCCATAGGTGGAGGAACTGTCAGTATCTTAATCAGGGGTGTCATTACTGTGGTGGAAGAGGTCATTACAAGAGGGACTGCCCCAAAAGGAACACCGGACAAGTACAGAGCTACAGACAGCCGCGTCAGAGCCACCAGCAGTCAGTCACCGTTAATAGGCCAGTGAGATCTTCTCAATCAGGGGCAAACTCCAGTCGAGGGAAGCCGAGGGCACAAAATGATCGGACCTCGGGGAGGGTCTTCCACCTGACACAGGAGGAGGCCAGGGCTGCATCAGATGTGGTGGCAGGTACACTTCTATTGAATGGTTTTAATGTGCATGTGTTGTTTGATCCGGGTGCCACCCACTCATTCATTGCTAAGAGAATTGTCACTAAATTGAGAAAGGAAGTAAAAATGGTAGAGAAGGGGTTTGTAATTGGAACTCCAATGGGAAACATGGTTGAAACAAATATTGTATATGTGGATGTGGGGGTTAGTTTATCCGGGTATGAAACAGAAGTAGACTTGATTCCCTTAGAGCTGCATGATTTTGACATAATACTAGGCATGGATTGGTTGAGTAAATACAAAGCACTAATAGATTGTTATGCGAAAACTGTTACTTTCCAAACACCTATGGGCGAGAAAATAACTTTTGAAGGAGAGAGATTTCCCAAACTGAATGCTTTAATATCGGTGGTAACAGCCCAAAAACTTTTAAGAAAGGGATGTATGGGTTACCTCGCATACATCTTAAACTCTAATGATGAAGGTCCACGATTGAAGGATATTCCTGTGGTGAAGGATTTCCCAGATGTGTTTCCAGAAGAACTACCAGGACTACCCCCGGAGCGAGAGGTAGAGGTGTCTATAGACACTTTTCCTGGAGTCCCACCTATAGCCCAACAACCGTATCGGATGGCTCCAGCAGAACTGAACGAGTTAAAGACTCAATTACAGGAATTATTAGACAAAGGGTTCATACGACCCAGTAATTCTCCTTGGGGAGCACCGGTCCTATTTGTAAGAAAGAAAGATGGAACCCATAGGCTTTGTATTGACTATTGACAGTTGAACAAAATAACAATGAAAAACAAGTATCCGTTGCCTCAGATAGATGATTTGTTCGACCAATTAAAAGGAGCAAGGGCATTCTCGAAGATAGATCTGAGATCAAGGTACTATCAGATGAAGATTAAAGAAGCAGATGTAGCAAAGACCGCATTTAGAACTCGTTACGGACACTATGAATTTTTGGTGTTACCGTTCGGGTTGACGAACGCCCCAGCCCTCTTCATGGATTTGATGAATCGGGTTTTCCAACCATACCTGGATAAGTTTGTGGTGGTATTCATTGATGATATACTGGTGTACTCAAATTCTTTCAAGGAGCACGAAGAACACTTGAGACAAACCTTACAAACCTTGAGAGATCACCAGCTATATGCAAAACTGAGTAAATGTGAATTTTGGCTGAAAAGAGTGATGTTTTTGGGACATGTCATTTCAGCCGAAGGTGTTTTTGTCGACCCTCAAAAAGTCGAAGCAGTCGTGAAATGGGAAAGACCGACTTCAGTCACTGAAATACGTAGTTTCCTGGGACTTGCAGGATACTATCGGAGATTTATCGAAGGTTTTTCCCTGATTGCAACCCCTTTGACCCAGCTAACTAGGAAGGATAAGAAATGGGTGTGGTCGGAAGAATGTGAGGCAAGCTTCCAAGAATTGAAGAGGAGGCTCACCACTGCTCCAGTCTTAACTCTCCCCTCAAGGACCGAGGGTTTTGTGGTATATAGTGATGCCTCGGGGAAGGGATTGGGGTGTGTTTTGATGCAACATGGGAAGGTGATCGCCTATGCATCAAGACAATTAAAGACTCATGAGGTGAACTACCCGGTGCACGACCTGGAGTTGGCAGCTGTAGTATTTGCCTTGAGGATATGGAGACACTATTTGTATGGGTCTCGAACCCAAATTTTTACTGATCATAAGAGCCTGAAGTATCTGATGTCGCAAAAGGAGTTGAACATGCGGCAAAGAAGGTGGATAGAGCTCATTAAGGATTATGATTGCACCATAGAATACCACCCAGGGAAAGCAAATGTGGTGGCAGATGCCCTCAGTCGAAAAAATAAAGCCTCCTTGGGAAGCTTAACAGTGGGAAAGGAGCGGCAATTGGCAGAATTAAAAGAGTTGGGTGCAGATTTGGGAATTGATGTAAGAGGTGGGTTAGTAGCCCAATTATTGGTGCGACCAACGTATCGAGAACATATACTACAGGATCAATTCTAGGACAAGGTGGGGTCCAAGATTAGGAAGAATGTGGAGGCCGGGGTAGAAATGAAATTCCGAGTAGCGGATGATGGATCCTTGATGATGGGACAACGGTTGTACATGCCTGATGACGAAACAGTCAAACGAATGGTTCTACAAGAAGCTCATGAGTCCAAATTCTCCATACATCCTGGCAGCACTAAGATGTATCGAGACCTGAAACACCTCTATTGGTGGCCTAATATGAAAAGGGAAATAGCTGAGTATGTGTCAAAGTGTGGGATATGTCAACAAGTCAAGGTTGAACACCAAAGGCCTGCGGGACCATTACAACCATTACAAATTCCAGAATGGAAGTGGGAGATGATCACCATGGATTTCATGTCAGGATTTCCCAAAGGGAGAAAAGGAAATGATGCGATATGGGTCATTGTAGATCGGTTGACGAAATCCGCACTATTCTTGCCCGTAAAGATGACCGACTCGGTGGACAAGCTTGCCAAGATCTACATAAATGAGGTGGTACGACTTCATGGGATTCCGGTGTCCATTGTATCGGATCGAGATCCCAGGTTCACCTCTCGACTTTGGCCGAGCATACAACATGCCTTGGGGACAAGATTGGACATGAGCACTGCGTTTCACCCTCAAACGGATGGCCAATCGGAAAGAGTCATCCAAGTCTTGGAAGACCTATTACGGGCCTGTGTGCTAGAATTTGGAGGAAACTGGGAGGAAAACATGGCATTGGTGGAGTTCACGTATAACAATAGTCATCAAGCCACAATAGGGATGGCCCCGTATGAAGCCTTGTATGGTAGGAGGTGCAGAACTCCTTTGTGTTGGGAGGAAATTGGGGACCGGAAGTTATATGGCGCAGAGTTGGTCCAAGTCACCACGGAGAAAGTGAGAACTATCAGGGATCGCATCAAAGCTGCGTAGGATAGACAGAAGAAGTATGCCGATGTGAGGAGAAGACCTCTCGAGTTCAGTATGGGGGACTAGGTGTTCCTGAAGGTAGCCCCATCGAAGAACATGTTACGGTTTGGGTTGAAAGGGAAGTTAACTCCCCGTTTCATCGGACCATTCAAAATCTTACAACGAGTTGGACCAGTAGCCTACAAGGTGGATTTGCCCCCACAGTTAGCCAGGGTCCATGATGTGTTCCATGTCTCCTTGTTAAGGAAGGCTGACGTAGACCCCACCCGAGTTGTACCCCAGGTTCCAGTAGAAGTCAAGGAAGACTTAACACTGGAATTGAGACCCATAAGGATACTAGATCAAGAAGTGAAGGAGTTACGGAGCAAAAAGATCCCCATCGTCAGAATCTTATGGCGAAATGCTCAAGTAGAAGAGGAAACTTGGGAGAGGGAGGCTGAGATGAGGAAAAAGTACCCCAATTTATTTGAATTACCAGGTATGGAGTGTGAAACTTCTTAAATTTTGAGGACGAAATTCATATTTAGGAGGGGAGAATGTAAACACCCAAACGAAAATATATATATGTCTATATATATATATATATATATATATTTAAAGAGAAAGAGAGAGAGAGAGATGGTGATGAATGCAGTTTTCGCTGCCGATGCAGAAATAGGCAGCGACGCAGTTTTCGCTGCCGATTCTGGATTTGGCAACGACGCTGTTTTCGCTGCCGATGCAGAAATCGGCAGCGATGCAGTTTTCGCTGCCGATTCTGGATTTGGCAGCGACGCAGTTTTCGCTGCCGATGCAGAAATCGGCAGCGATGCAGTTTTCGCTGCCGATGCAGAAATCGGCAGCGATGCAGTTTTCGCTGCCGATTTCTCAATCAACAGTGACGCACAGCTGGGAGGGAGGGGTAAAACTGGTTTTAGATAAACCAAACAAGGATAAGGACACACCTAAACCAACCCCCAAACAACCTAATTCATTTGATGGGTAGTATAAATACAAAGAGGGGAGAGAGAATGACTCATCTTCTTCCCAAACCAGCAGCTGCATGTCATTTTTCCCTTCCCCTTTCACAACAGAAACGTGAATCACACCATTAGAGAGTGTCTTGTGAGCTTGTGAGGGAGAGATGAGACCTTGAGAGAGGAGTGGGCAGCTGCATAGAGGAGAGGAAAAAGAGAGCTGGAAAACGTGAGAGGAAGAAGAAGGAGGAGAACCAGCAGCTGAAGAGAAAAGAATAGTGTCAAACCTTCCTCAAACTTAGTTAAATTCAGAAGGTATGGGTCATGAAACTCCCTTCCTCTTCCCCTTAAAATCAGAAACGAAAATGAAGAAGAAAAGCCCTAAGAAAAATTGATCTAAGACCTAAGCCAGCTATGAAGGAAACTGAAATTAACTAGGAGAACTAGCAAACAGAAGCGAAATAAAGTCAATTTCAGAACATCTAACAAATCATGGTAGAGGGCTGGCTTTAACTATGGGGTAGGCCAGCATGCATGTGTGTGTGTTCTGCTGGAATTAATGTGTTCTGCTATGATGATTGTTGCTGAAATAAATGTGTTCTGCTGTGATGTTGGTGCTGAAATTTAATGTGTTCTGTTGTGATATTGCTGCTGGAATTAATGTGTTCTGCTGTGATGATTGTTGCTGCAATTAATGTGTTCTGCTGTGATGTTAGTGCTGGAATTTAATGTGTTCTGCTGTGATGTTATTGCTGGAATTTCGTTGAAGAACTATGTGCTAAAATTGATGGTTCCGATTTGTGTGTTGCGCAGCGAAATTTAGTTTCGCTGCCGCAATGGAACCTCCTGCAGCGAATTGATATTCGCTGCTGATTTGTGTGTCTGCCGATTTGTGTGTTGCGCAGCGAAATTCTGTTTCGCTGCCGCAACTGAACCTCCTGCAGCGAATTGATATTCGCTGCCGAGTTGTGCGTTGTGCAGCGAAACTGTGGCGCCAACAGCGATGCAGTTTTCGCTGCCGAACTGGCTGCCGGCAGCGAAACAGTTGTCGCTGCCGAACTGACAGCCCGCAGCGAACAAGTTCTCGCTGCTGAATTCCTACAATAAGCCTCCTAGGCAGGAATGACTTAAATGCTAGTAACAATTTCATGTTATGATGGTGTAAAATATGGAACTCTTGAATGTGAACATATGAACTCTTGGAATAAGTGTGATGACGAATATGATTCAAAAATAAAATAAATACAACTGTGCTAATTTGTGACCATTGATGTCTTAGGTGGTGCGGTCGGG